TGTTGTTTAAGGTTTTTGCACAGGGATTAAGGAAGTTATTAAATAGCTCTAATATGAGTAAAAAATAATTGTATAAGACTAAAATACTCTTATTCAAAATGTATTGGGAAGGAAAAGAATATGAAAGACACTTAACCTACACTTAATCTATTAAACACTTATTGAAAAACATAGATAAAGGTAAATTTGGAAGAAAAAATATTAATTATGCTTTGATTTTATTAAACGACAGATATTGTGGAACAAAAAAAATTGCGTAAAATGACAGATATTTAGGAACGGAGGGAGTACTTTCTATAGGGATCTTGGAAAGATAGGGATTTTATTTTTTTTTGATGGATTTTGAGGGAAAAAAATAATTGGTTATGGTTGGTTTAAGTATTAAGACCACTAAAGGGCTTACGAACTTTAGTGTATTTGTATGACTAGCTTATTATTTTGGTGATTTAATTGATTTGTATCTCAAAATACTTTTTACTGAGCTCCAATGACCTGGATCCTCAAATTGTTAGACCATAATATGGAGTTTACCCCCAATTATGCAGGTAAAAAGACCATGTGCTTATCAGTTGCACTATATCATCAATCAGGCTTCACCTTTGAGAGTGAGAAAAATGACTATGAAGATGGTGAGAAATTCAAACTTGTTTATCAGAGACCAAGATGTATGAAATCAAATGTATTATTCAGCCATTAAAAAGGTAGTACAATCTATGAACAACTCAATATCAAAGAAAATTGCAATAAACTAATGAAAGATCAATCTCAAAGATAATAGTATGTATTGTAATACATTTAGTTCAATGAAACTTTTAATATTTGGCCCCAAGCATCAAGATTTTATGAAAACTATCCTAATAAAAACAAAAATATAAAAAAAAAATGTACAAAACACATGAGTTACAAGGGAACGAAATATTTACACCAAATTTTTAATATAATTAAGTATATATAAAAGTTTTCTAAAGTGAATTGACGGTCACTCGGGGACCGACCCGTAATGAGTAGGGACGCCATGCTCGTATGATAGGATAGACTAAATATTGGCTCACGAGTGTGTCTGTGAGAGAGAGAGAGAAGGAGGAGAGCATGGCATCCATGGTAATTCCTTCGTTCTCGCATTCCTACCTGAACCTGCATTTTCCGGTGACTCACCAGAAGGGTTGTTTGACAACAATGACAAGAAGAAGAAGAAGAAGGATGTCTTCTCTCCTCATGACCACTCGCTCTAGTCTATCCGACAACTCTGGTCTCCTCCAAGCTGCCAAACATACTGTAACAACTCCATTCCTATGCTCATAAATTCTCAAGTTACCATGTATTGATGACCATGAATGAAGTTCATGTTTCGTTTTATCTTTCGTCAAGTTTCCAATTTACTGCCCCCACCCTTTTTGAGTAAAGTCACTAACGAAAATTGCCTTTGCTATTTTGAATTGCTTTTTCATTGTATTGCTTTGCAACGATAGATTTTGTAGATTTTTTTCAAGGAGAAGACTATGGTATTGAACAAAACTTTATGATATCGTACCGCCAAAATTTACAAGTTTTCTCGGTTGAGATATAAGTTTTTTGGTTTGTTTAGGACGAAAAATTTACAACTTTTATGGTTTAAGTTATAATGTTTGTGAGTCATTTAGAACTTTAGGATCGATACTCAAAATTTTAGGATTGATCACAAGTTACGCCAAAAGTTGTAAATGATCCTGACATGCTGTAAATAATCCTCAAGTTTTATAAATGACACTTAAAAGCTGCAAAAATAAACCACAGAACTTGTAATGGAGGTATGGTACTTAACAAAAACTTTTCCGCACCATAGACTTCTCATTTTTTCAAATGTTAAGAGATTGTTCCAGGACTGTGTAATAAAGCCTCCAAAATTAGTGTAAGTGTTGTGAACCTGTTCACTCATTTAATTGGTTATTAGTTGGGTTCTTCAATGTGGTATCAAAGTTGGAGTTTGAAGTTTTTGGGAAAATATGTCTATTTTTATCTCACTGATTGTGTATGCCTTCATTTGCTGGCATTATCTGGTATTTCTCTTTGTTTGTATCATGATGCACTTAGTTACATCTCTCCTTTTGTCTCTTTGTTGTTCTGTCTACCTCTCCACCTGCGAGTGGAGGTTGCTTTTTGGGACTTTGTTATGTATCACCCATTTGTCTCCCGTTAGTATAATAGAACCTCCCAAATTAGTATATGAGCCTTATGGGCCTCTATTCATTACCATCTGGTTTTGAATTGGACTATTGAACAAAACTAGTATAAACCTTGTCAACATGACTGGTATATGAACCTTGTAAACCTCTATTCATCTCAAATTAGTTTTGAGTTGGATGGTTCAGCATGAACTTGTTATATGTTTTTTGAATTGCATGAATATTACCTTGGCTTTCCTTTCACTGACAAACAGCACTGGCCGGTGTCTTTATTTAAATGGATAACCAATTAGATTGTGATTTAGATAAGTTTTTAGCAAATTCTGAGAGACCACTTGTCTCAATCATGTAATAGATTTGGTATGCTGCTTTTTATCATACTAATTATTAATGCTGGTTCTGGTTTTTTTTTTGTCAATTTCTTTTGAGAGTTTGTGTTTGGACTTGTTGCACATTCTTATTTATTTGATACATGAATTCACTGCGTTTATATTACGTATACATATTAGTGACTAGATCTGTCATTATTCTATTAGCAATTTAGCATTTACTGTCCTTTTTTAATAGATATGTAACGTACTGGGCAATGGCTGCTTTTTGTATTATCTTTTAACAATTCTTATTTAGCACCACTCTGATTGTGTAACGTGATAGAGAATCTGAATTTAGAATTGTTTAAAATTTTATATTTTGAATAATTATCTTTGGATTTTTTNTAGCACCACTCTGATTGTGTAACGTGATAGAGAATCTGAATTTAGAATTGTTTAAAATTTTATATTTTGAATAATTATCTTTGGATTTTTTCTTTTTCTATTGTTTTTTTTTTGTGCCTTTCTTTTTAGAAAAAATTTGAGCGGTAGCCACTTACAGTTATTGATATAGATCACGGGTTAATCTCTTAAANTTTTTTTTTTGTGCCTTTCTTTTTAGAAAAAATTTGAGCGGTAGCCACTTACAGTTATTGATATAGATCACGGGTTAATCTCTTAAATTCAGAATTAGCACACTGACTCGCCCCTCTTTTTCTTTTACAAGACGTTCTGTGTTTTCAGTAGGCTGAAAAAATAAATTAAGAATCGACATTTAATAAAAATGTATTGTAGACAAAGAACGCATATGGCTAGAATANCTCTTTTTCTTTTACAAGACGTTCTGTGTTTTCAGTAGGCTGAAAAAATAAATTAAGAATCGACATTTAATAAAAATGTATTGTAGACAAAGAACGCATATGGCTAGAATAGTTAGTATTGAGTGGAGGTTGTAAAGGTAATGATAGACACAGATATTGAGAGCAGCAGAAGAGTTTTTGCTTGTTGCGNTAGTTAGTATTGAGTGGAGGTTGTAAAGGTAATGATAGACACAGATATTGAGAGCAGTAGAAGAGTTTTTGCATGTTGCATATCTATTGATAACTGGAAGTGGGGCTCTCAACTGTATACCTAGTTCTACAACTTGTTTCAATGGTTGTCTTCAGAAGATGCCATTGTTGTCTTTTGGGACAAAAACTGCAGAGGGCTTCTTGTTTGCAATTAGTATGAGCCGAAGGGGAGACTTAATATTGAAACATTATGCTTGCCTGCCTAAATTATTTGTTTAAAAGTTTGTACTTAATCTTCAATTTGCAATGGCCTTCGTTTTCTTAAATCCTAATTAGTTGGATCATTGATAGAGTTGCCTCTGGAGAATCTAGTGTTCTATTTGTTAGCTATTGTCAACCTTGTTATCATTGATGGTCTCATCATTCAAGAAGTTTAGATATGACCCCTCAAATCATTAGTTGTAAGACTGCAGCCTTCAGTTTTTTTTGTCCCCTAATTAGTCATTATTCTCTTTTTTTAGTGGGCAAATAATTAGTCATTATTCTCATCTAGATTTGTGTTGGAACAAACTTTTGCATGTGGGCATATCATGGCAGCCAGCTGGCTCCAAAAGTATGGCTCTGGGGGTACCCGAGGGCAGTGCTGTCAGTTATTTTACTATGATCGTGTCACAGATGGTTACAAGTCTGGTGGGAATTGTGTAGGCTGCTGGAAGATTTGTCATTGACTAGGGATCTTCCGGTGTAGCTGGCTGGTGGGAAAAGCACTACATTATGTGTCAGTGATGGCCGAATGAGAATGGACTAATCTTCCCTTGCTTGTATTGACTCTCTTTAAACTTCAGAAATGTGACACCTTGGAGGGAAATTGAATACATTTTCAGGACCAAATGTTGATTTTGTAGCCAAGCTCCTCCTTCTCTTATTGACTGGACCACATTAGCGTTTTGTGTCTTGGACTGATATCTTAAAAATAGACGTTCCGGGAAATTGGAAGACAACAGAGAGATATTCAGAAAATTAGTACTTGGTTTGCAATAGGGTTCTCCTCCACTTGGGCGACTCAAGCATATGTTAGAAACTAATCCCATCAAATCAGATAGTGAGTGGTTATTTCACTCACTCTATCAGGTGGACTGTAGAAATTGACTTCCAAAGAGTTAGGTAGTGGGTGGTTATTTTACTTGCTCATTATGTAACCATTCCTCCAATTTAGGAGAGAAGTTTGAAGTCATATTTAACCACCTTGCCCCCATCCACATACACATCTCATATTAAGTGGGATTACATCCAATAATGGTATGACCAAATCAAACTTCTTAGCTAATTTGGCCAATCACACCATGGTCTTTCTTTTGTGTAATAAGACCAATAAGTGCAAGATTGAAGACAATACAATTGTTAGTCAAATAGATAATTAAACCAACATATATTTAATTGGGATTTTGTTCTCAATACTTTTATCCGCCAATAATTAAGACATTGAGGGCTATATGCCCACTCATTCCAATGCCAATTGGGATCTCGAGCAGGAAGAATGAATGTTGCTTAAAGCTGGCCTGTAGGCAAAATTGATTCAATTACTTTGGTTTGATCAGATGAGGAAGTACTTTGAGCATCAGTTTATATCAGGCTGTTGGGTTCAATACCAGCTAAATTTCCAAGCAAAATTGACTTGGATATAGTTAATGGCTGCTTTTCTTGTTAGCATTGAGCTGATCTTGGGATGACATTTATCTGTGCCCTAGCAATTTTCAACAAAGAGGCGTGGCAGAATATGGAAGAGGATTCAAGAAAATCATTGGTAGAGTCAGGTGGGGAATGGACTGGGCTGCGTTGCTGGCCCGGGGTTCAGGCAAAAGAAAAAAAAACAAAAAGAATGGACTGGGCTTTGCTCTGGAGCCTTGTACAGGATCATTTTGAAACTGTAGTGTCTAATGTGAAATTATTCAACCTAAAAACCATAGGAGTTTAGTAGCCTTATGCTGAGCCATAAGTGGAGTTGCTTAATTTGTGCTGGGGTGATAGTTCTACCCTCTAAGAAGGCTTTAGCAGGCTTCATTGGTTGGTACTGTGATTGTACATGCTTCATTTGCATGCTGTTTTTGAACGAGATACTTACTTTAGTCTCTTTATGAAGCAGGTTTCATTGGTACTGTGATTGTACATGCTTCATTTGCATGCTGTTTTTGAACGAGATACTTGTCTATTTATGCCACTTGAAATTGGGTTGTTGGCTGAATTGTTAGAGGGAGTAATTATCCTTGTTTTAGTTGCATTGATCAGCTTTGCTCTTGAGAGATGCCAATACCACATCGTAGATGTTGATTAGACTTTTTAGGAAGCCAAGCTAGAATGCTGAGTTTTCCGGATTTTTACCTTGAGTCAAATTACTTGTATGAGGCTAGATCAGTCTTGAAGATATGAATTCAGTCCATTTTATTCCTTGCTGGAAGATGACAACAGTATTGGGGCAACATNACTTGTATGAGGCTAGATCAGTCTTGAAGATATGAATTCAGTCCGTTTTATTCCTTGGTGGAAGATGACAACAGTATTGGGGCAACATTCCTTCCACTTCGTTATCACGGGCAATGAATATGTGAAGGTGAGATATATCAGCTTTTGAAACTAGTCAGTGGCTGAAGGCTGGTACTTTGTTGTGTTTATGGCATCAAGGAGATGATTCATATGGCTTGATTGCACATTACAAAATTATTGCTGTGATATTCTTTTAAAATTTTATTACGGTTTATTATCCATTTGGTTTCTGAAACATTAACCTTCGATGAGATTTGGGTAGAATTAGGATATCAAGTTTGTCTCAATGAAGGATGAAAATTAGCATGTTTTTTGTTTAGAGCATGAAATCCTACTTTTGCTGTCTGGGCCTCTAAATTATGTGCAAGTTCCAAAAATTTTAGGGGTACCTTGATTTGATTGCATAAATGAAGTCTTCTTGTGGACAGTTGATGCCTGGAGTTTTGCCATACCTTTTTGTAATAATCTTATCTGATTATTTATTCCTTTTTGTACTGGGATTATTAGCTTCTTTATCCTTGATGCCTTCCATTTTAAACTAGAAACATAGCCTTTGGCTTCTGATACTGGACATAGAGTTTAGGGGAAAAAACAAGGCAAGAGGATTGAGGACACAGTGCCCTATATAGTGTGGCTTTGTTTATAATTACACTTAGTTTGGTATGCTTTGATTTTATTTTCATATATGTTAAATGCTTTTATCTACTTCTGCATGAGGAATGGTTAAAGGAAAAAAATACATTTGTAACCTGTGTTCTCTACTAGGTCGATACATACATCAAAAGTGGCATGGTGATAGGGTTAGGGTCTGGTCAAGCTTCTGGTTTGGCAATACAATATTTGGGTCGGCAACTTCAAGCTGGTGCAATAAAAGATGTAGTTGGAATACCCACGTGAGTTTGTATTCTTCTGTCTCCCATACTTGGAATTCATTTCTATACGTCATCTATCGTGAAAATTCAGAAAATATGGCCTTCTCTTGAGTTGTTTTACCTAACAAGTAAGGCAGAATTTTATGCTAAGAAACTATATGGCGGCTAATTTATGTCCCAAGTGCAAAGCAATTGATTGATCCTGGTCTGTCAGCAGTTAGTGGAATTGTATTTGGTTATTTTCTGTTTGTGGTGAAAATCAAGCAAATAATTGAAGTTAGGTCTGTATGACATAGTTGTATATACATTATCCACATCTGATATGAGAACAAAGACCTATGTTCTTCATGTCCTTCTCATGCTGATCATGTTTCTCTCCAGTGCTCACTTTTCTTTGTCAGAGTCCCTAAACTCAAACAGCATACAACTCTTATGTTTTCTTGTTCCCCTAGTTCTTATCTGCATGAGACTCCCAAATTTTGGTTTGATTTAAGCATTTTCACTGATTGTGTTTATTTACCATGTGATAGTGTGATTTGCATTGATGTGATGCAGATCTGTTGATAGTGCAAGTGAAGCAGCAAAGGCAGGAATTCCTTTGGATCAGTACCAAGATAGTTCTCAAGTGTGCACAAATTCTGAGTATCCAATTACTTGGTTGCATTTTAACTTGGGTCTGTGAGTATTACATGTTCTAAACAGCTCTGGTACCATTTGAATTTGAATCACTCACAATAAAACACCATATCTGTTTGCTTGTTAATATACTAAAAAGGAACAGAGATGGAGGCCCTTATATGGTAGGGCAACATAACATAAGGTAAACGATTAAAATACCCCTAATAACAAATATAATAGACTACTCTAATAAGATGGATGGAAAATTTCCAAATATCTTTGAGCCACGAAGAATCATCTTGTCGTAAATAATAATCAATGGTCAGTATCTGGTCGGAAGTGAATGAAATTCAGATGCCCTTTAAATTTCTGTCACTTTTAGAGTTGTTTGTGGATATACTCGTACTCTCATGTGTTAACCTTGTTTTAATAACACTATAGTGTTCAGTTACTTTCAAAATGCTATATAACAAGATTTTAGTTTGTGTTTTGCAGATTGATTTCGCATTTGTTGATGCTGATACTATAGAAGAAGGAACCCTTACTGCAGTGATCGGGCGTCAGAGATTGCAGGGTGTGGAATCTTTGGTTCAAGAAAAGGTGAGTCAAAATAATGTTTTTGGTTCTTTTTTCATAAAACTGGAACTCAAAATCATAGTGTGAAAACTGTTCAGAAAGCAGTTAAAGTAATTTTGCATGTGTGGGCATTTTCCACAGGTATTTTGAATTGTGCATAGGCATTGAAAGTTACGAATTGGATTTTCCTGGTCAAAGATACCATAATCAGTCTTGCGTCTGTCTATATTATGTTTTTGAAATCTTTAATCTTGCATAGGCTTTATCTTATTGTTGGTTTCTTGTCTTGAAACACTTACGTTACATGGTCACTCTGCTTACAGACTATTCTAAAAGCAGCAGGGAAGCTTGTATTCATTGTCATGGGAAAGATGTACAAATGTGGTCTAGATGGCTCAATTCCTGTTATAATTAAATCCGTAAGCTTCTGTGCATAGTACTGCATTGAAACATGTTGAAAATGTTACCAATCTAAGGGGAAGATGCGTTTTTAACGTGCTGAAGTTTTTTTCCAGTTCAACTGGATGGCAACTGCTGAGGAAATTGATGACCTTTTTCTCGGTGATGCTGAGGTATACAGTGTAATCAATACGGAATATGTCAAAATCTCATTAAGATGGAAAGTTTTTATGTTCATATCGCAAATATTAGGTAAATTTTTTACTGTTCCTATTGCGTAGGGCGAGGTAAACGGTAGGCAATCTTATTAAGATTGATTCCTAAACTCAAACCCACAACTTATGGTCTATGAGCATTTGCCATCACTCTAGGTCCGACCTCTATTTCAAAGACTTGGTAACTTGTCTACCTCAAAACAAAGAGGGGACAAATTGAAAGACAGAAATAGAGGCAGACAAGAAAGCAACTTTTATATCTGAGACGTCTATAAACTTANCGACCTCTATTTCAAAGACTTGGTAACTTGTCTACCTCAAAACAAAGAGGGGACAAAGTGAAAGACAGAAATAGAGGCAGACAAGAAAGCAACTTTTATATCTGAGACGTCTATAAACTTACATGAAAGGATTTTACCACATTACAAACTATGTGATGAAAAAGATCAATCCACTCCCAGCAGAATTAATAATTGAAGTTCAAGTAATGTTTGATGGGCATAATAGGAGAGTAAACTATGCCAAGGAACAATTCTTGTGTTTAATTTTCTTCCTTTATTGAAGGTGTGGAGGAGACCATCTATAGGGCATGCGGGTCCCCTTGGGGGTGACTTCCCTTTAGTTACTAAAGAAGGGCATAATGTCATTGATGTCATATTTACATCTCCTATACCAAGTCTAGGTACAGTTTTACTTTTGTGATGCTTGTCTTTTTAAGTGTCTTTGACCATCTGTTACAATTTGTGTTTTGGTGTCATTGACTACCTTGCAGCTGAAGTAGCTGATAGTCTAGATCAAATTGAGGGGGTTGTAGCTCATGGTGTCATCTCCAGGATTCCGTAAGTTCCTTGTCCCTTGTAAACTATATGTTGTATATGGATGAGGAGAATATAACACAAAGGTGGAAATATTGAAATGATGGCAAACCCCGCATTTAGTGCCTTGTAATTTATAACAATAGTAATTACAAGGAGAATTGTACTTCTAGGAAGTTTTATGGATCATGTTCTTTAAGTATCACTTAAGGACTCAAAGAGAAANTATAAAAGATTCTAATGGACAAACTCAAATTTAAAGAAGAAGAGATTCAAATTTAAATAAGGGCAAATCCAAATTTAAAAGGGAGTAAGGATGACCATTGAATCTTTAAAAGATGGTGAAATTTCACCATTAAAGATTTGAGTATTCCTTGATTTGAGTAAAAAAATAAGTTTTTCTTAATTTGGTATAAGTTTGAGTCAAGGGTTGAAGCAAGTTTTTTAAACTTTTTTACTCAAATTATAATTTGAGTCTAAATTTGAGTAAAGGTTGGAGATGTCTTATCTATACATGTACGTGTAAACCAGGAGGACCTCTATAAAACAAGAAGAGATAGAAGAGAAGTAAAGTAAAGGTGTCTGGTTTCAGGAAGATGCCAGCTAGATTAAATGAGTAGGCATATTAGCGTTAATAGTGATAGAGAACTAGTTAACTACCAATAAAGGGAGAGGATACTAACCCCCTTCTCTTACTTTATTAATAATATAGATTTGTATTGATGTCGGTTTTACCTGTTCCGTAGGGAGTCTTGTAGCTATTTCAAAAGGGGTCGTTGTGATAATATTGAAATGTCGTGGGATGACCTAATAATAAGTCCGTATATCAGGGAATGTAATAATAATTTACCCAAGGATAAATATAATGAGACATTATAGTATAAATAAGAGCATCTCCAACCATGACTCAAATTTTTACTTAAATTTAAATTAATATTTGAGTAAAAATCTTGATTTGATATAAAAGATTCTAATGGACAAACTCAAATTTAAAGGAGAGATTCAAATTTAAATAAGGGCAAATCCAAATTTAAAAGGGAGTAAGGATGACCATTGAATCTTTAAAAGATGATGAAATCTCACCATTAAAGATTTGACTAAAGATTTGAGTATTTCTTGATTTGAGTAAAAAAATAAGTTTTTCTTAATTTGGTATAAGTTTGAGTTAAGGGTTGGAGCAAATTTTTTAAACTTTTTTACTCAAATTTAAATTTGAGTCTAAATTTGAGTAAGGGTTGGAGATGTCCTAATTATACATGTACGTGTAAACCAGGAGGACCTCTATAAAACAAGAAGAGATAGAAGAGAAATAAAGTAAAGGTGTCTGGTTTCAGGAAGATGCCTGCTAGATTAAATGACTAGGCATATTAGCATTAAAACATAAATTTTCGGATTCGAGAGGTGCTTGAAAGTCAACACCTCCAATTATGTTGAAAACATCAACTATGTGAAATGAATAACTCATATTACTCCGAAGAAATAAAGCAAACACTTAGAAAAGTTATTCAATCATAAGAAAGGATAACGCCTTGGAGCCATTGGACATGTCTGGACTGATGTGGTGTTGTAGGGTCCAGGAAGTTAACCTTGCCCCAACAATAGCAATGATATGTGGTTAATTTTAAATTTGATATTAGTTATTGTTGGTTCATTAAATTAGGAGACAGGCTTCAAGAAGAGAAAGTTTGGATTTTGAGGTTTTATTGAAGAATGAAGTATGATAAATGAAGGGTGTAAGTTTTGTTGAATGACAAAGAAGGCGATGACAAAATTTAGTAATTTTTGGACATGACAGGAGGGGGAGGAGATAGGAAAAGATTAATGTGGATGATAGAGGTAACCAACCATCTGGAATCAAATTGACAGTGAAAATGCAATTTAGTTTATAATTTCCACTCCAAGTAAATGTTGTATCCTCCATTCATTTGACATGACTCAATTTTAGTTTATAGTTATACACAAAAGGTGACAAGATTCTAACTAAATCTTTATACTTGGACAGAGCTAAAACCCCCCAAGGTCCTTAAAGGATTTAAGTGATGATTTTTCTAGGCCAGGAAGCTTGGATATAAAGACATAATATTGGTTCAAAGCCATACGGTTACGGTGGTACGGCAAAATCTAAAAAAAAATAGGATACATATATGTGAAGATATTTCAACAAATATGTAGGCAAGTTTGAATATATTGTAATATATGATAAAATTTGATATTAAATGTATCCAAAAAACTTTAATAATGATGATTTCTACATATATAGTTGAAAATAAATAATATCAACTTCATCATTCAGGTATTGCAATAGACAATTCATCTTAAACATCTAATATATAACTCAAATATTAAATTTGGTACTAATGAAATGTTGTAAGAGAGTCTTGTTCAATAACATACCAACTAGATCATCCATTTTGTGGTCAAAATAAGTAGTTTCTTCTTAAGTACTCCTAGGACTGTCAAAATTCGACATAACACGATTAACTGACACGAATTAAACGGGTTTGGGTGATAAACGGGGTGACACGCTAAACACGTTTAATAAATGAGTCGTGTTTGGGTGAGACTTGTCAAACCGTTTATCACACGTTTACCCGTTTAAATAAAATTAATATAATAATAAATTAATAATTATTTTAAAAAATTAGCAAGAAAAAAAGAAGTAAAGAAATCAGTAAGAAAAAAAGAAATAAAGTAGTAGTTCAAAGACAAAAAAGAGGAGATGTGGAGCACTTCAAAGACAAAGGCAAACCAATGCCTTTTGTTTTTGTCCTACATTGGAAAATGAGGGGAGATGGGGAGGGTTGAGTTGCGTATAAAAAACAATGACCTCTTGTTTTTCTTTTTAAGCCTTTAAGTCTTATTTTTATGAGATATGAGATTTGACTAAAAATTCCTCTTTTTTGAGGTAATTGCAATTGACAATAAAAAAAGTANTCTTATTTTTATGAGATATGAGATTTGACTAAAAATTCCTCTTTTTTGAGGTAATTGAAATTGACAATAAAAAAAGTGGAGTATTAAAATTTGTTAATATAATTTTTTAAAAATTAAACGGGTTAAACGAATCGTGTTCGTGTTGAGATTTTTCACCCGTTTATTAAACGTGTCGTGTACGGGTTTATACATTTTCCACCCGTCACTCGTTTAACCTGACACGTTTGACACCCCTAAGTACTCCTATAGTTTTGTTATGAGAAAATACATATTTCTTCATGGCTTAAAATTTTCAAAAATTAAATAATCAGTCTTGGGGAATCATAAACATATTGGGCGCCTATCCTCGGTGTTTGGTGTAGCCAAACGTATCCACAATTAAAAAAAAAAATTTGTAGCATGTTTGAGATGTAACCTTGTTCATGTATCCNATACATATTTCTTCATGGCTTAAAATTTTCAAAAATTAAATAATCAGTCTTGGGGAATCATAAACATACTGGGCGCCTATCCTTGGTGTTTGGTGTAGCCAAACGTATCCACAATTAAAAAAAAAAATTTGTAGCATGTTTGAGATGTAACCTTGTTCATGTATCCATCCTTCACAGATTCTAGGATAGGATTTCACACGCTTTCCATAAATTTCCAAATAAAAAAAAGAAATTTGAAAACCTTTTGTGGAGTGTGGTGAGATCACATGACTATTATGGTTAGTACTTAGTAATATAAATCCTCTATGTCATCACAATAGGCTAGCATGGCATTTTTAAGGTTTGATTTACTTTCTTTGTGGCAATAATTTTTTTCCTTGTGGTGCTTTTATTCAACAATCTTAGCCAACATCCTATCATCTTGTTCTCTGTTGGCATTATCTGAACCTTTGATCTCTGTCTTCTCTTATCTAGCCATCATGAATCTTATCATCCTCATTTTCTTTTTAGACATTTGGTAATGCTTAAACTGTGCTACATTCACTATGTCTACATGTTTGGTAGAGGTTTTGATATGAATTCCCTTTGTTCCATTATTTTTGTGTGAAATCAAAACAGGTTACATAGATATGCTAACTAATTCTTGCTCACTGTTTTGATCTGCTACTGGGTTAAATGCAGATGCACAGCTGTAGTTGCTACAGAAAATGGGCTGCACATTGTTGATAACACAACAAAGAGTGAAGTGGGTGAACTTTAAAGGCATTCTGCAGGACAGATTACTTAAAGTCTCCAATTTTCCCCATTGCACAAACTTTATAGTCAGAAGCATATGGAAGTAATCTTTAATGGGTGTATAGGATTAAAAGCCGAGGCAATTAAGTAGCAACTGTTCAAAGAAAGAATCTTGGGGTTCTCATTGAATTTTTTTTTTTTTGGGTCGTCTCATGGCCTTTAACCTGGAATTTACATTTTATTACTATTTTCCTCTTATATTGCAAAAGTATGTATGTATGTTTTTTTTAATGTCTCTGATATTGTCAGAAATTCTCNTATACATGTACGTGTAAACCAGGAGGACCTCTATAAAACAAGAAGAGATAGAAGAGAAATAAAGTAAAGGTGTCTGGTTTCAGGAAGATGCCTGCTAGATTAAATGAGTAGGTATATTAGCGTTAATAGTGATAGAGAACTAGTTAACTACCAATAAAGGGAGAGGATACTAACCCCCTTCTCTTACTTTATTAATAATATAGATTTGTATTGATGTCAGTTTTACCTGTTCCGTAGGGAGTCTTGTAGCTATTTCAAAAGGGGTCGTTGTGATAATATTGAAATGTCGTGGGATGACCCAATAATAAGTCCGTATATCAGGGAATGTAATAATAATTTACCCAAGGATAAATATAATGAGACATTATAGTATAAATAAGAGCATCTCCAACCATGACTCAAATTTTTACTCAAATTTAAATTAATATTTGAGTAAAAATCTTGATTTGATATAAAAGATTCTAATGGACAAACTCAAATTTAAAGGAGAGATTCAAATTTAAATAAGGGCAAATCCAAATTTAAAAGGGAGTAAGGATGACCATTGAATCTTTAAAAGATGATGAAATCTCACCATTAAAGATTTGACTAAAGATTTGAGTATTTCTTG